GCTCCATTTGGAGCAGATGGAGGGCTTCTTTATTATGCCCATCAGCATAGTCAATGCCCAGAATCTTTTAAATTCTGGCACATTGATGGGGGCCCATTGCTGCTTTGCCAAAAACGAGTCAGGCTTTGCAGCACGGAACTGATCGGCATATAAATTAGTTTGGGTGACAATGCTCCCCAGTACATCATCACCCAGAAACACCTCCATAAGGTGCTGAGGGCTAAATCCTGTGACATCCAAATTGATGCCAGGATTTGCAGTGAAGGGTGGGATATCTGGCCTCTGGCGATGAGGCACTACCCACTCCTCAGCAGTACTGCCAGCTGGAGCAGCATGTCTCCTTCTGGCAGGGGGACTAGCAGGCACAGATACAACATAACTAGATACATCACTAGCAGCAGACTGTATCTAATGATGATTTATCTGAGCACCGGGCAGGGTCAAAATCAGGGTCGGAGTCTGACATAGATGCATCAGACTCTAGCGCAAGGATGGCATACACCTGCTCAGCGCTATACAACCTCTGTGACCCCTGTGACATGATCACAATCACTTTACTTAGTGATCTGTCACAAAAAAAAAACACTAAAAAAAAATAACCCAAGAGCCTGTGATCTATACCGTGATCACTGGCAGGACAGGGGTCAAAAGCTCTGAAAAGAGCTTTTGGGTCTCAAAAAAAAAAATCACAAAAAAATGAACCCCTACAAAAATGCACAAACAGCAAAAAAGTGCTGCTGTGCAAGAGCCAGTGATTATAGTGATCACTGGCAAGATAGGGGTTAATGGCTCTGAAAAGAGCCTTTGGGTCTCAAAGTTTTACAAATCCCTACCTAAAACTACCTAAATCTCTCTAGCTAAAACACAGATCTCTCTCCCTCTCTCACTAAAACACAAGTGAATAGAGGGAGGGATATCCACACTGATCAGAGTCAATATTTACTAATATTGACCTGATCAAACAAATGGGGATCAAATTGTTATTGGGGCAAGCTGTAATTGGATTACCCTAGCCTGTCCCTATGATGAGGCAGGCTAGGGATACCCCCAGAAGCCCCATGATGCATGACGCAGAGCCAGATGGCTGGAGGAGGGAGGGGGGTTAATATCTATTATTTTATTCATTTTTTATATAAAAAAAAAAATTATATTTATATATTTCTTCGCTGAGTGCCTCGACCCCTTGAGGCACTCAGCACATGCAGAGCATTGGAAGCCTGCCCGATGGCTTCCATCGCTCTGCTTAACTGCCGGGCGCCACGTGGAGCAACCCAGAAGTGATCGTGCTGGGGGGAGTAATCACCCAGTGCTCTCCGGGTGCCTGGCAGAAATGAACAGTATTGCACGATGCCTCAACATTGAGGCATCGCTGCAATACTATCAGAGCGGCTGGAAGCGATCACGATTGCTTCCAGCGCTCAAAATAGCCGTGGATGTATCGTGGAGCAACCCAGAAGGGATCGTGCCAGGGGGAACGATCACCCAGTGCTTTCCGGGTGCCCGGAAGAAATGAACAGTATTGCACGATGCCTCAACATTGAGGCATCGCTGCAATACTATCAGAGCGGCTTGAAGCGATCACGATCGCTTCCAGTGCTCAAAATAGCCGTGGACGTATCAGGTACGTCCGAGGTTGTTAAGGACCGGTTTTTGCCGGACGTACCTGATATGTCCGCGGTCGGGAAGGGGTTAAAGAAAATATTCATGTCTACTTGTATGATAACAGATAACTTTACCTGCAATGTCAACGTCTAGACAGAACTAATTTGCAACATAACGTTGAAAAAATGTAAGACTTTAAAAGGCCAGCATGTGGCAGCAGAGTTCTAAAGAAAGCATTGAAAAGACAAACTGTATCAAACTGTAAACTGTAATTATGTGAGAATAATGATAGTCAGTCCAAACAATGGAAGTAATTTATTTTAGTGAGCTTCATTTGGGCAATTGGCAATAATAGACAATAGTACGGTCAATGTGATAACTAGACATTTACTTCCTTTCAATAAAATAATATTAATAATAATAATAATAATCACATTTACCCTTTAAAACATTTATAGAATAGAGCCTCCATTTACAACCATAATCAATATAACCCCCCAAAAATCTGTAGGAACTCTAAAAACATTTTAATTACATTGTAACCCTCTTGTACACTAAGATTACTTCAACATAAATACTGTTTTTGACTTATGCTCTACAAAAGTGTGCTTCATTTCATTGGGTATCAAAAACTATTCTTTGTAAAATAATGCCCTTTCTATAACCAATATCACATGCAGGGCCAGCGCTTCCTATAAGGCAAACTAGGCAGCCACCTAAGGCGTCCCCCATCGCCAGGCCCTTTAAATGCTGAAGCAGCACTGCTTCTCTCCTCACCTCCCCTTCCCTGTGTAGCACTTCGTGTGCACTTCCTGTCAGTCCTGTACAGAAGCTCCTGTCCCATGGACCGAAGAGGAGCTTAGCCACCCACGCTACACAGGGAAGGGGAGGTGAGAAGAACATGGGGGGGAGGGGAGGGGAGTAAGAAGGATACAGGGGGGTAAGAAGGACACAAGGGGGAGGAGTAAGAAGAACGGGTAGTAAGAAGAACAGGGAGGGAGGGGGGAGGGGGGTAAGAAGGACACAGGGGAGGACAAGAAGAACATGGGGAGTAGTAAGAAGAACATAGTAAGAACACAGGGAGGAGTAAGAAGAAGAAGGGGACGGGGTGAGAAAGAACACAGGGAGGGGGAGGAAGAAGGTGGGTGAGAAGTGGGGAGGAGAAGAACACAGGGGGGAGAAGAACACAGGGGGGAGAGAAGAACACAGGGAGGAGGGGAGGTGGGGGTGAGAAGAACGCAGGAGGGGTGAGAAGAACATGGGGGTGAGGAGAACACAGGAGGGGGACATGGAGAAGGGGAGATGAGAACACAGGGAGGGGGGACATGAGAAGAACACAGGGAGGGAGGAGTGAGAAGAACACAGGAGGGTGGGGGGTAAAGAGAAGGGGAGATGAGGAGAACACAGGGATGGGGGAGGTGAGGAGAAGGGGGAGATGAGGAGAACACGGGGGGAGGAGATCCAGCGTCAGTTTGGCGACCAATAGTCGCCCAATGACCCGGAAGTCTCTTTAGTGGAGTTAACCCATAAATGTAATTATTGCAGGTAATTAAAGACTGCAATAATTACCTTTGTATGGTTAAGGGACCTGGGAATATGCACTCAGACGACTTCAATGAGCTGAAGTTGACTGAATGCCTATAGCAACATATAGGATTTGAAAAAGTTTAAAGGTTAGAACAATTGACCCCCTTACATGTGAATATGCCTGTGGGATCAAAAGATGTTGACAACAACATAAGAGGATTACACCCTGTGTAAAACCAGACAGATACCCAAAGTGTATGATCGTCTGTGACTAATGATCATAAACATTGATAACTTTCTTTGTCAAGTCCATAAAGATAAAGAAAAGTAAAGTGACTGTATAAAGGTGAAAGGAAGAGATACAATGTTCAACACACAATATCATTGGATTTCTGGTACAAAACATTAACGATATCCCAGTTAATGCATGCATTTGAGTAGATAAACAACAATCAGGCATGTTCATTGTCAATCGCTGCTATTTTATCAGGATACAGTTATAAGTGTCAGAGGTTAAGAATTCTTGCTGTCAAGGGGATAAAAATAAAGACATATTTAAACTGTACCAAACACCTTTGTTTGGGAAACCCCTAAAAACACTAATAGCTCAGTACTAATGTGAGAGAAATCCCAGAAGGTTTCGAGGCTTCAAATCAGCTAGAAGATAATGTGTATAATCTAGACAAAGCAAGTCGAAATGAAAGAGTACTAGTAGCTATGGACAGAAAACAGAAATGTGTCAAGCATGATGACATGAATTTCACCCTTCTTTGGATCATCAGTTAAAGACAATATATAGCAAATGGCCAATGCGGTATTGTGACCGGAATTGTATGTTATGACCCTGAGTTGAGTCATGTCCATCTTACTGGATAATTCAGGGAACCTTGCTTAAATTATTTGCCCGGTAAATGTTTCCCTGGTGACACCATATCCAAAACATAGAAAATAAACAAAGCCACTCAAATGATTGACTATAAAATTGAAAAATATATTGTGTGCGGCACACCCATGTATTTAAAATAATCAAATTTTATTGGATGCCACTTAACATAGAAAGAAAACAAGTTAAACAACATAACTGTGAATTCCTTTTACGCAATGATACAATTACAGCGTTTTATATAGATACATAAATTTATGAGATTAGCCAAACCTTACAGTTTAATTTACAAAAGTAAAAATTCAAAGTTAATTCAAAGTAAATTTCTAATTAAAGATGAACAGAACTGAACTGGAAAAAATTCTCCAACTCGACTATGTTGACTTTGGCTACTCTGGCCTTAAATTTGAAATTCATTTTGAACTCTCACTTTCGTAAATACCCCTGTTAGAGGCAGGTATCGTCTCAGTAGTTATTAATGATTTACCTGTTATGTTCAGTTAAGCCAAGTTCATCCTAGAACTAATCAACAGACATAATCAACAGACATACATAATAGATAGACAGATAGAAAGATCAAGGCCGTCGTGTCCTATAGCCTGGTGCCAGATTTACGTGACCAGGCAGGAGGGAAGTGCACAGCGCACCCTCCTACCAGTCACTCAATGTAGCATGGCCGGGCGGCATGGACCGGGGTACAGGAGCATCTGTTTTCTGTACCTGGCTGGACTGACAGGAAGTGCTCACTGAGAGAGCACTTCCTGTCAGTCCGGCCGGGTACAGGAAACAGAAGCTCCTGTACCACAGTACTCTCTGCCCGGCCACGCTACAAAGATAGGTAGGACGTACAAAAGGGAGCGGCGATAATACTAAGGAGTAGGGAAGAGGGAGGGAAGGGAGGAACACTAAGAGGGGAGGGGGCACTAGGGAGGGCATGACCACGAAGAGTGGGGTAGAGGGAGGGAGGACCACGAAGAGTGGGGTGGAGGGAGGACCACAAAGAGGGGGGTAGAGGGAGGACCACTAAGATGGTTGGGGGAGATGGAGGACCACTAAGGGGTTGGGGAAAAGGAGGACCACTAAGAGTGGGGGAGAGGGAGGACCACTAAGGGGGGGGACCACTAAGGAGGGAGGGAGAGGACCACTAAGGGGGGGGGTAGGGGGAACTGGAAAGGATCACTAAGAGGGGGAGACCACGAAGAGAGGGGAGAGGAACACTGAGGGACAGGGAAGAGAGGGGAGAGACCAATAAGGGACAGGGGGCAGGGAAGAGCTCTTAGGACGTAGGGGATAGCTCTAAGGGAGGGGAGGAGAGAGCGCTAAGGGCCAGAGGGGTAGGGGAGATTACTAAGGAACAGGGGAGATCACTAAGGGACAGGAGGGGAGAGGAGAGCACTAAGTGACAGGAGGGGGGATCTCTAAGGGACGGGTGGGGAGAGCACTAATGGACTGGAGGGGAGGGGATATCACTAAGGGACAGGGAGGCAGAAACACACAATGCATCCCTACACACACAGAAACATACAATGCATCCCTGCTCACACACAGACACACCGAAACACAGACTGCATCTCTTACGCACACACACACTGCTTCTCTTACACACACACACACACACACACAGAAACAAAATACATCGCTTACACACACTCAATGCACCCCTTACAGACATATACTGCATTACATTAAATACACAGAAACACACCATGCATCCCTTACATACACACACACACACACACTGCATCCCCTATACACATACTACATCCCTTACATAAATTGGTATCCCTATACACTACATTCCATAAGAACACACACTCACATTACATCCTCTACAATAACACATCCCCTACACACATACACTCCACTCCTTGTGAGCGAACTCATGTGTGGGTCATGTAGGTGGACTTATGAGCGGCCTTGTAGGCATACTCATGGTCAGGCTCTGGGGGCCCAGACCTTGAGCTGTGTAAGGGGCGCCAAAAAATGGAGCTGCTTCCTGCTCGTTGATTTTTGTGAGAACTGTTACAAACAGTTTCCAGAGAGCCTCTTCTACACCAGACCAGACCTGGTGGTAAGTAGGCAATCCAGTATATTATTAGTGGCACTAATTTCAAATTTACCTCACATTAAAGGGACAATATAGTCACTAGAACTACTTCAGCTTAACATAGTGGTTCTGGTGTCTATAGCCTGATAAACACACTGACTTTTCAGATAAAAGACACTGTGTTCAGCACTGGCCCATATGGCAGATCATATGGGTGGGGCATTGTGATGGTGGGCAGAACATATGGGGGGGGGGGGGGGGGCAATTTTTTTTTAACTAGGGCGGCAAAAATCCTTGCACCAGCTTTCAGAAAGATATATATACAGATACCATAGGTATACAGACAGACACACAGACAGAACAGTCAAGCAGACAGCTATTATTGATCATTTGTGTTGGTGCTCTGAAATACCTATTATACAGGGCTGTTCATTAAATTGGGAATCAAAGTGAATTCAAAGCAAATGTCATATTTACAATTTAAATTGTAATCATCTTTTAATTTAGATGTGGGCATAACAGTAACATTGAGATATAGTACTACGTTTATTATTTGTTTTTTTCAGATTAGATCATGCATTTTCTGTATGACTTTTATTTTATTAATAATTCATTTGTGTTCTAATTACATATTATCTTCTAGGCCGATTCTTGAAGTGTCATAAAAGACATTAAAGAATTACCTAAGAAAAAGTAATTTACATTTTGAACTGATTTAGTGTGCCTATTATCCAAATTTAAATCCGGAAAATCTAGTTTTAATATAACAGCGGCATTACTCACGACAACCCAGAAACGGGCCAACTACCTTAAGCACAGTATCCCAAGCGTTGATGGTAATCTTAGTAGTGGGAAACATCTCAGCTATCCTGGCTCGCCCAAACACCGGAAGCCACAGTACTTTTTTTCAAACTGTATTTTTCAAGTGTCAGGGTTATTTAATAAAGTGAGAATTCAAAGTGAATTTCAAATTATTTACACATTTAAGGCCAATTTAGCCAAACTGGAAGTAAAGCTAACTTTGATAATGTTTCTTGAATTCACTTTGATGTCCTGCCAATCCTCACATTAGTGAAAATCCCTGTTAGTGTTTCTTGCATTCCATATGTTGGGAGACAGATTGGTCATAGAATATTTACCATGTGAGTAAGTATGCAATTTATACAGAGACATGTGTGGCCATGTGCGTTTTGTGTAGTGCGTATGTATTTTGTACATGATTAGGATTACCAGGTACAAGAATTTCCGGGGATGCTAGCCATGCCCGTGGGCCTTTAATTAAATCTTCACCACTATTCCCTTGGCTGGAGACTACCCATGAATCACTATACCTCAGTGTCCTTCTTTCTGAGACATGAGAACAGGCAAGAAAACAATCTGAAAAGTAGAAAAACAATAAAATAATCAACACAGCAATAACAGGAAATACAATATTTTCTTTACTAGTAGGCTTAGCCAGATTCCCACCCCAAAGATCCAGTCCCAGTCGCAAAGACCCCAGTGTCTTGTTTAATGTCCTGAACCAAGCTGTGTAGATTTTGTATGTGTTCCTGGATCATAGTTCCATGGTCGGATAAATGAAAACAGCACATCTCGCTTACAGCTTCATACCCTAAGTCATGTTTTTGTAAAAGATAGTCTATGGCCACCCTATTCTCAAGGATTGCCTTTCTATTGGCCTGGGTATCTAGCAGGAAGTTCCTCTAGGGCCTGGGATGTCGCATTGAAACCCTTTTTGCGAGGGAACAGGCTAGTGCATTAATTACTCTGTTATTATACAGTGCTAAGCCTGGGACTCTTAACATTTAATAGGCTGTGTAACAGGTTATATTCAAGAGGAAACAGGGGTGGTCTTATAAACATTATCCAATAATAACATAATTCATCAATCTTATCTCAACATATCTTATCCTATAGCTAGCTTGCAGGTGTAATGGGGGAGTACTCATTATAGTTTCAGTTTAACTACGCAGCTGAAATAAAACGTTACTACACACTCATAAAATAGATATGTTAGTACGCAGTTAGAATTACAGAAATAGAAAACAAAAAATAAGACCAACTTTCTGAAACTGGAAAGTTTATAACTCTGTCTAGAGGTATTTTCACTAAACATTATTTATAGAAAAAGTGGACCAGGGTCTAGGATTACCAGTGTTCTGGGGTCAGGTAAAAAAAAAAAAAAAACAGTGACAAAAAGCTTGTATTTGAGAAAAAAGCACATCTAGGGAAACCCTGAAGGGGGGGCACAACCGTATAGACATGTCATCCCTCACATTGACACCACTTGGGAGTTATGATACTCGCACCTGTGAGTACATAGCTTGGGCATCGGGAAGAATTGGGAAACTCTTCGATTGGTTGAAAAGGCCCACTTACATATTAAATCATGAGATAAATTATATTCTAGCTTGCAATTCTGACAATAATTCCAACCAGGACCTTGTGTCTTATGTCTCCTAATCATGTCCCTATTCCAACGGTCCAGTCAAAACCGGTCATACCCACACTCAGTTCCTCAAAACATGGGAATCCATCTTTGGCATACTCAACATACATCAACAACACATACTACATCCTTCCCAGGGTCAGCTAACACTTCCTCTCTGTCCGGCTAACCCTACAAAAAATAAAAATAACAAAATAGTTTCATAGTTCAGCATAGTTCAGAAAAATAGAACAAGTCTTTCAAGGAGTATACATTTGGACACCATACTTTTTGTTCCATAAAATAGCTAAGGGTAGCCATCTGGCTGACAACAAGACAATGTCATCTTCCACTTAGTTCTTAATTCTTCTTTTGTTTGGCGGATGTTCACCACAAAGCTCTGTGCAACACCCCAATTGTTGAAAGGGTTAATACAGAACCAGCAGCATTAGACAGCACTGCACCTTAAGAACTTTCCAAGTTAGTTTATGTCCTCATAAGTAAGCATCTCAGTTTCTTCGGCCTGCATGAATTTTGACCAAACAGATTTAATTGCAAAATAGGTAGGTAGGTCAGCCAGAGAGATCGGTGTGTAGTACCAAATATCAGGCAGCACAAACACTCCAGGACGGTCTCTATAATCATACAAACACGAGGATCAATACGACATCAATTAATCAATTACCTAGGCTAAAAATTAAATTAGAGACTAAAGTTAAATTTTTAACGTGTGTAACATCTACTTTTCTCTGTTTTTTTTATATTTCATGCAATCTGTCTTTCTCGAGCAAGTGCCAAACTGACTAAATTTATATATATATAATCTTAACATACACATATGGGGATAATTCCCAATAAAACTTTGTTCCTAAACTTTAACCTTGATTTGATAATTCCAATTAATTACTTTAATAATCCCAAATAATTCAATACTCAAAACTATATATAAAATATTAAAAACGTGAACCATCTGTGTATTAGGCTGGGGTTGGGTTTGGGTATGGTTGGAAGCTGTGGTTGGTACTGAGGAATCTGTCAGCGTGGGTTTGGGCACTCATTTTTCCAGTGACCCTGCTGTCCACAATTAAAACAGTGCGTTCATCCAGTGCTGAAGTTGCCACCTCTACCAAAGTTAGACCCTTGACCACGTCCTCTACCTCTGCCTCTAAAACTTCTCTTATTCAATCTCCTATCACCTCCCATATCTCTTTGTCTCACCTGGTTAGGATCACAATGTTGCAATCCTTGTGACTGATACAACATACCTTTTCCTTCTTTCTTTACATCAAAACAACCAGCTGCGTCTTTCTCATGAATCTTCCTAAGAAATCCAGTTGAGGTCAAAGAGGGCCAGTCAGAGACCAACAGTTTGACCAAAAGTGAAAAAGGAGGAAGCATTTTCCCTATGCAGGTCGAGATTACCTAACCCACAACCCCCTCCTTGTGTACCACGCAGATATAATATTAATAAGCTTTTGAAGGTTTAATGTATAGTTAAATTGTGTATCTAAGGCACGGTTGCCTAGGAGTGTATACATAAACAGTGAAAGTCTTCATATAGGGTTTGCAATACTGACAGTCTGGGTCATGGACGTAAGCAGACATGCGGTTAGGTACTTTTCCATTGTCAGAATACATTGAAAACACTAAAATACTGCAAATATTACAAAGCATATTGCTACCTGTACCTGGCAAGGATGTGGTTGGGACATAGTTCAAATTGAATATCAAAAAGTCTAACCATAAAAGCTACATTTTATATGCTTATCAAGAAAACAAGTAGTGAAAAAAGAGAGAAATTGGTGCCCTAAATATAATTAAAATATAACTTTTAATAATGAGCTTAAGATCTATTAAGAGTGTCCATAGTAGGAGTAATGCTCCAAAAATGATCAACTTAAAGGACCACTATAGTGCCAGGAAAACATACTCGTTTTCCTGGCACTATAGTGCCCTGAGGGTGCCCCCACCCTCAGGGTCCCCCTCCCGCCCGGCTCTGGAAGGGGAAAGGGGTAAAAACTTACCTTTTTCCAGCGCTGGGCGGAGAGCTCTCCTCCTCCTCTCCGCCTCCGTTACGCCCCGCCGGCTGAATGCGCACGCGCGGCAAGAGCTGCGCGCGCATTCAGCCGGTCTCATAGGAAAGCATTTACAATGCTTTCCTATGGACGCTGGCGTGCTCTCACTGTGATTTTCACAGTGAGAAGCACGCAAGCGCCTCTAGTGGCTGTCAATGAGACAGCCACTAGAGGATTAGGGGGAAGGCTTAACCCATTCATAATTATAGCAGTTTCTCTGAAACTGCTATAATTATGAAAAAATGGGTTAACCCTAGAAGGACCTGGCACCCAGACCACTTCATTAAGCTGAAGTGGTCTGGGTGCCTAGAGTGGTCCTTTAAGTATATACTTAATTTGATCATTTTTGGAGCATTACTCCTGCTATGGACACTCTTAATAGATCTTAAGCTCATTATTAAAAGTTATATTTTAATTATATTTAGGGCACTCATTTCTCTCTTTTTTCACTACTTCTTTAGTCCTTGGGTTAACCCATATACAAGTGCTCTCTTTAGCTTCTACTTTTCTGCTTTGTTTTATCAAGAAAACAAGTTTAACCCGTTAGCGAGTTAATTGATTGACCTCTTCCCATAAGTTGACTCCATGTGAAATTATTATATTATTTATCCTCTTCTGGGTCTGTTTTCAATGCTTTCAATTTACCAATACAAATATAATACAAAAGTTTAGTAGATCAGTGATTTCTATTAAAAATACAATTTCATCATTACCCTATGATCAATGAGGCATACTAGATGAATCTTACTTTGGAAAAAAACCTATCCTATACATCCATAATATAAAATAAAAAAAATAAAAATAAAAGTCAATATGGATAACATAATTTCTTTGACACAAATAATGCAATGCACTTTAAAAGTAGAGTTAACTCTGAGCTGGAATACTCAATACTCCCCTAATAGTACTGTCAATGTGAAAATGGAGACGTGGACCCACGATTTGAACAGCAGAATTTTACAGGTCCCCTTTCACGTGAGATGTAACAAGTGCTTTTCTTGCAAAATTTCACATTATTTAATCTCCAAGAGTAATAGCATGCAATTGTTTTATTCTTGCCGGCTGATCAGCATTTTAATCTGTTGTAAAAAAACCCACTAAAGGCTTGTGTTAATGACATGCAAACAATCTTCACTTTACTTTTTAAACTCCTACACAATGGACCATAAAACACATAACACACCAATTCATTACAAACCAAAGAACTCATACTCAGCAATCATTGTAATATCACACATGTCATCTCACAAAACAGAACACAACAGACCAGAGGCGGCTCTAGACTTTATGAGGCCTTAGGCAAAACTCAAACATGAGGCCCCACTAACAAAAAAGTTAAAAAAATAGAGTTGCAATACATGCACACTGTCAGATATACACATCGATGCACAGTTTATCTGTGTATGTGCCTGAGAGTGTGTCTGACAGAGAGAATCCTTGTGTGTGTGTGTGTGTGTGTGTGAATGTATGTCTCTGTGAGCATGTTTGCGTTTTTGTCTGGGACCCTATGTGGTAGCTGGGTAGCTGCTTGAAGTGTGTTGTGTGTATAGGGGGGGTGATGATGAGAGGGAGGGGGTGATGGTGAGAGGGGGTGAGGGGTGTGGAGGGAGAGGGGAGTGATGGTGAGAGGGAGAGGCGGGTGGTTGAGTGGGAGAGGCGGGTGATGAGAGGGGGATGTGGTGAGTGGGGAGGGGTGATGGTGAAGGGGGTGAGAGAGGGGGTGATGGTAGACAGGGGTGATGGCGATGGGGGTGATGCAGACAGGGAGGTGATGGTGGGGGTGATGGTGAGGAGCTGATGTTGAGGGGAGGGGGGGTTTATGGTGAGGGAGGCTGATTGGGGAGGGTGGGTGATGGAGGTGAGGGGGGTGGATGGAAGGAGGGGGGATGGTGGGAGGGGCAGATGCTGGCGAGGGGCTGGACGCTGAAGGAGGTGTGGGCATGTTGAGGGAGGGGT